TCTATTTCCTGCAGGGCATCAGGCTCAAAGCATGCTGCGAGACGATCCATCAGACCGTCTCGCAGGCTCTTCGGCATTGATTTGCAAACATTTGCAATCAAGCCTGACTGTACAGACTGTATAGCGAGTACATCCCTGTAGATACGGACGTCAGACTCACAGAACAGTTCATATTGATTAGTCGTACTCAAATAGGTCTCGTTTGACCCTTACGTATCCCTTGCTGGCCGGGCGCATGCCATCCACGTACAGTGTTTGTAGCTGTCAATTTGCGAACGTGTTACATCATAGGATTAGGAGTACATGGACTGCAACTTACCACTGATCGCAGCTCATCTAGGCTCGCAGGTTCCATAGCTTTGCTAGCCAGGTCCCGTTGAAGCTCTGTCCATCGTGAGTTCTTCTCTCTATTCCTTGGAGGTTCGAAATGTCGGTTGTGAGTTAGCTCTGCGTCGTATTTCGAAGCGACAGTCGTTGCACGGATGGCAGCGCAGATTGGCGAAGCAGACACTAGCGGTTCGCCGGAAGAAGATGGTTGCGGTAGCGGCGTGAATTGATCAAGTGCGAGTAGTGGCGATAATTGTGACAGCGATGTGAGAGGGGAAAGGGGTTCTTCACTCTGGCTATGATTAAACTGAGCCCAGGCATCTGCGTTGCGTGGGACGGCCGTAAAAGAGCTGTGTGGGAGGTAGTCAGCGTCATCAACAAACTGCTGGTTGTGTTAGTCACTTACTTTGACGGAAGAGCACTGAATAATCTGTCAGAGATATTGAGGTTGCTGCATAGGCTGTCAGCCGGGATGCCCAGCGCGGTGAGTGTATCTACTGTGAATAGGTCGCCCAGTCGGATAGGGGAACGACTACAAAGAGAAGCCACAGTAGGAATGACAGTCTGTAGGACTTGTCTTCCAACTGGGCTCTCTAGATTGAGTTAGGTATTTAGTGCGCGCAGCATGAAGCGATCAGACTTGGCACTCACCAGGATCTGGGCACCGCAATATATTGGCGAGGTCTGACGCCAGATTACCGTCCGCCTCAATGAACGGCACACGTAGGTTCGTGTACGCCATCCACACAAGTATGTAGATAGTTCCTTTATCAATCGGTCACTGTTGATACGGTACTGTATCGCATATGGAACCAGTATCTCACCTCCTGATGCAAGCCTTGCTAGCTTAGTACCCCGAGAATACCAATACTGTAGAGTGCGGATGCTAGGAGGTTTGGCCTCACTCGCAAGATATTCGCGCCACAAAGCTGAGATGTTGACGTTGGTCCATCCCGATAAACTAGTGGCGCAAGCTCGTCAGTCTAGTCATTCTCTTGTTATAATTCGAAACGTACCTCGCGCACTCAAAGCTCACCCTCATGATCGCAATCATGTAATGGAAGTCGAACGCGCTGCGTTTGCTATCCATCTCCTTGCAACGTTTCACCAGTTGAGACAAAGTCTGCTCTTATCGCCGTACGAAGCTTGGTGAGGCGCAAAGAGCGAGTCAGCGCACCCAGCTATGTCATCCTGCTGATTGTACGCTGTGAGAGTGGACAAGAAATTGACAACAGACGTGCTGGCAGCTTCATGGGGTTTAGACGACATCTCCCAAGCTGCTCGGGGCTGCGTCTCGCTGGCGACCCACTGGATGCCGTTCCTGGGGCAGGGCGGCAGAGGGAAGTGCGCCACCTGCGGTTGATTGCTACGGCCAGGCCTAGAGGCAGGGTTATACGGGGCTACGGGGATTTTACGACGGGGCCTAGGTGGTCGCCTTGGACCTCTCGCACTGTGTGCAGGCTCTGAGACTTTGTGAGTAAGAATGGTTCACAATCAAATTGAGCAATATGCTCACCTTGTAATGGTACTGTACTGCTTGAACTTGAAGACCGTAGGACTGTATTCGTATGTTCCTCAACGGTTAGTGGCTGACTTTGAGCCTGTTCGTTGGTGTCGAAGCGTGGTTCAGAGGTCGCATGAGTAACATTACTAGATTCTTCGACTCGAAGGTGCAGCAGTTCATTAACAAGTATGGCAGGTAGAAACAAGACGGGCTTACCTATGGCCGATGTATCACCATCTGTACCTTCCGCCAGTCGCCCCAGCAGCGATTGCATGTTGGGACTTAGAAATTGAATTGAGGACAGAAGCTCATGGAGCTCTTTCATCTCCTCCCTACTTAGCTGCATATCAGAGACGGTAGCGCGAGATTACTGAATGTGATTGCCAGTTCGAGCGTGCTATGAACCACACATGAAACCGCGCACGAGGCCAGCGCTACCCCGGCCATCGAGCTTGGGTTAGGGCCGTCACTCGAATAGCTTACTCTTCGAATTCAGCTCATCAGATCGCGTTGTCGTAGCTGCATGCGATATTGCTGTAGAGGCCCTGAATATGCTTGCAATATTGCTGTATCTGCCTCCTTTCTACGTACAAGTACACTAGCGCTACGCAGTACTCACCAACCGCCCACCGCCCACCACGCGTCGGTTCGTCTGCCCGACCGAATGCGCGCAGAGCTCGTACTCCTCGTCACCGCCGGCTCCGGCGTGTACACGCCCTCCCCATCCCTCCCCCCGCTCACCTCCGAAGTGGGCTTACCCGTGCTCGCGAGCTTCCCCATCCTCCCACCGAATCTCTCTGGTATTTGCCACTCGACGGTCTGTTAGGTGAGCCGACCTAGCCATTACATGAACGTATAGACGACTTACTGATCTTGTTATGATGCCATCGTATGCGACACGTCAACACCTCGTACCGCGTAGTCACGGACCTTTCTTGTAAGTACGAGCCACTTCAGTTAAGGAACTAGTTATCCATGAGTTGAAACTCAGGTCCCGACTAGTCATACCCTGAGTAATACATGACTTTTAGCATGCCTGTAGGAATATCTAAAGCCACATTCTGACTTACTAGTGGCTGACTTCAACATGTTCCGACTAAATAAGGCTGACTTACCAGTGGACAGTGGACACACCGATGTCTAAAGATACCTGCTGACTTTTCACGACCGACTTGCGGATCCGACTTTCGCAACCGACTTGTTGACCACACCTGTGATCACTGACTTGTTTAACTGACTTTCACATCCAGGCTTTCGCCGTCGACTTTTGCCATCGACTTTTGCCCTTGACTTTCGCCCTCGACTTTCACTGCCTACTGGTGAGTGACGCCGGCTTCCGATGTCGACATGTTGAATGTGGAATATCGAGACACAGCCTGGTGACCACGAGCAATCCGCCTCGAAGTTAGACCGCATCAGTGGACTGTCAGATTGGGGTGGTGCAAGGAACCGAACGAATCGAACAGATGATGTGGAAATTACAGTAGTGCAGGCATATGTACAGTTGCTACGTATCATTCAGGCACCGTTGAGTTAGCTGGTTCACTTACCTACGCGGCGTGCATCTTTCGCCCGCCTTCGATCATAGTACACGGCGAGCATCTTCCGCCCGCCTTCGATCATACTCTTCTACCAATGCAAGTCTTCTCTGCCATACACTTTCCGCATCCGGCCACTCCGGGGCATCTACATCGTCCGAGTCTGCGAAATCGTCACCAGGGTTATCGAAGTGCAAGGGTTAGACTCACTTGTGACGAATTGGAACATCTCCTCAATGTCCTGTATGCCCCACTTCGCCCACACAATGTAATCGTCTTCTCGCAGACAGAAAGGGATGTTCGCAAGTTCCTCAACATGTATGAATCGCCACTGCTCTTCAAAACTCAGCCAGATTGCAATAGGATCGGTGAGCGCGAGATCCCAGTCTGTGCAAATCCTAGTGAACGATATCTTGCTCGTTTTGTTGAACAACTTCTCCTCGGGCCATGATCCATCCTAGCGCTCGTGGTGTTAGGACAGCGCACAACAACCGGCACTGAAAACATACCTCCACAAATGCCCAGACCCATACCTCATCCGACCGTGCAGAGTGTGACGATCGCCCATGACGTTCCTGCCCTGATGGCTGCCGCGCAGCCACGGCGCCAGAACCCCGTCGCTCGGAGGTTCGACTACATCTGGTATCTGTTCCCCGAAGACGACGCGCCCCGGTTGGGATATCGTCCTCACCAGAGTCGTGAGTGAGGTCGATAATGCCTTCCAGTGCAGGGCGCCGCATGTGGCCATCATCGGGCTCCTGCGTAAGGTCAATGACGTCTCCAGAATCAGCTCGACGGCGCTTGGTGCCGCGAGTCTCGACGCGAGATGGCTAGCACACCCCGTCAGATTAGGTATTCAGGTCACAGGGTATTTGTACTCACCGTCTGTTCCGCCACACGAGAAGACGAGGCCTGCGCCGCCGTAGGGACAGATCGTGACTGTTGAGCCATCCTGTTCGCCGGCCTAGCTGTGTGCTTGTCCCGCGCATCTAGAAGTTGACCGGAGGCACGAGACGCATGGTCGAGCCGACTAATTGCAACAGATGGGACAATGCGGGAAGAGGGGGAGGGGGAGGAAGGCTTGGCTGGCGAAGAGATGGGACTCGGAGAGGAAGGCGGATCGTGTGGAGGCGACGATGTAGACAGAAGCGCAGGTAGTCGATCGTCCGTGGCCTTCCAATACACATCAGACTGGTCAGATTCGTGGCCCATTTCGCCGCGAGGTTCGATGACTGCCTGCGCCGGTACGGGTTGCACACGCGAGCGGCGTGATACTGAAGGAGGATCGGCGACCATGTCCGAGACGTCATGGTGCGACCGACCCAGGAGGCCGGTGGGGGCTAGTGAGCGAGTGGCAGAGTTTGTCGTGGCATCGATTTGCTCGGCGTTGAGACGTGGGTTGTTACGTTGCTCGCACCATATGCGCCCTGCTTCATCCAGTCGTGCTCGTTCTTCTCGTAGATCGCGCTGCTCGGCGATCACCCGATTCAACTCGTGGGTTTTCTCTGGAGTTTTGTCTGCTCCGTCGCGAGCCAGTCGGTTCTGTAAGCGCACGCGCGCCTTCTCATTGTCCTGCAGTCGTGTAGTTACACCCCGCATGGCACTGATCAGCTCGCGCTCGCGAGGACCGAGACGGCCACTCAGGTAACGGAAGGTGGGCTTATGGGGAGGGCCACACCGTGTACACTGCATCACAAGTGAGGAGCGCGTCGATGACTTCATTGCATGCTACTCACCCTGGTATAGAAACGTCCACATTCTCGTTGTCCGTCAAGTATTGTAGTTGTTTCGCAGGGGTGTGTTGACACCCTCCTGTCTCTTCGTCCAGGGATAAATTACGAACGAAGTCCTTGAAATGCGCGAGGAAGGCGTTCTGCGTGTCCTGCGTGCGCGCAGGTGTGCGAGGTGAGAAGAGCGTGTTCATCCTCCCTACCCGGCGCCCCACGGGGCCGTTGGGCAGGGGAGATGACATGGGAGAGGGGGTTTCAGGACGAAGAGGCGGGCTCGTGAGAGGGTGGCAAATGCTCACCTTTATAGGGTATTGTCGCTATTGTTCAGGATCCGGGTGGCCACGAAAGCGATCAGTGGCCCGGTCACGCTTTGTCAGGGTGCGTCGCCGCTGGACCACACTAACTAGGAAGATGTTTTTAGCGAGGCCCGGTATAATCTTAGTGGCTGGGTGAACGAACCTACATGGCACCCAGGACAAAGCGGAGGAACACGCTTTGTCCTAATGCGTCGTCTCTTCGATACAGTAGCTAGGAAGATATTTGTAGCAAAGCCCGGTGACGAACTTGGCTTGGAATTTGTGGCCTTCTGGAGCTGGTCACGGCATCATATTATTCATAATAACGGCGATGCTACATATTCCCCAGTCGACGAGACAAAGGCTTAACAGCTACACAAGAAGTTTGTCCTGAGAATTCGCTGCCATCTACTTACCGCCGCGCCCTTTGCTGTGTAGGTGTGCGTAATCTGTGACTGTCCTGGAGACAACGTTAGGGAACAGTGTCCACACATGAAGTACGACTTACCTTGGGCGCTTGGAACGAGCGGAGGGTGCCGCCGTCGGCGGGTCGTCTTGTGGTACGTCTGGCTCTCGCGTCTTCCTCTTCTTGCCGTGGCTGGGCTCTGCACCTTGTATGGCAGATCGAGGCAGCCGATTGGACTTTTCCCGCGTGCGCTGCGGCCACCCTTCTTCTTGCCGACGTGGCATTGCTCTCGGGAGCTGGCTCTCCGACGTTGCGTGTCTCGTTCGCGTGGAGGTCAGTGGCGTCTGGCTGGCTGTCTGCGGCGGAGGGACTCTCGTGCCAGCGCTGGGTTGTCCGGCAGTGCGTCGTGGGCTGCCTCTGGCTCGTCGTTAGCGCTCGAGTTGATCTGTCCAGAAAGGTCTTGGTTGTCCGGTGCGCACGGCCGCTCTCGTGGATTAGCAACTCGCTTGACTCAATCACAGCTTCGTCATTCACATTGCCAACGCGAGAGTGCTCCTCCGTGTTCCGAGTGGATCGTCTTCATGCACATCCTTGGGATTCGCAGCATCACTGACGTCATCGCCATCCTGCGTGGCCGCGTGTTGCGCTCTGCGTGGCCGTCATCCGGGCGCGCATTGACATCTAAGCTGTTGGAGTTCGACGAGTTCACCGAGTTGTCAGGCAGACGGTGAGGCGCGTTCATGTCAGCTTCTCCCGTTCCCAAAGGTCGGGCACCCTTCTCCATCCGTTTGAGGAGATCCTTGCGCGGCCTCGGCAGTCTCCGTCGGTGCGTCCGAACGCTCGTTGGCCGCGAGGTCTGTGGCATCTGGAGGCGCGGCAAGACTTGTGGAGGACCTGGGGTCGCCGGCTTCACACGCGACCTCGGGTTTGCAGGATGAATCGTCGAGTGCGGTGACGAGCTCCCCGTTCTGCACAGTCTTGAGATGGTTGACCAAGTGTCTCTGGAGCCGTCCCCAGCGCTCACCCTTGTTACAATTAGCCCAGGCTTCTGAGTTATAAGAGAGGCTTACAAAGTTCTGCGTGCATTCCCGGCGGCATCAATCCATCCAATGTAGGTAAAAATGTGTGTCTGCGTCTCTGCAGCCCATTTGTCCACGGATACACGCGCTGTTAACGCAGACGGCTGCGCTGTCTGTGGCCGTGAACGTTCGGATGAGTGAAGGTCACGTCAAAGAGAACACATGGTCACTTACTCCTCAAGTTGCGCGAGAGCCTAGCTTCTTCATCGTTGCCGCTGTTGGCCGACGCTGTTGCTGAGCCACATCCTCCCTCTGAACGGGCGTCCTGCGCTGCATTGGCCGCGCGAGCTCCTCCTCGATTGAGCGGCCAATCTTCGTATCGCTGCCACTTTCCGGCTCCTCAGCTTTGACGCGGTCAATCTCACGCGAAAAGCCAGGTTCCACTCAGTTGTCTGGGACCTGAGGCGAGGCCGGCTTTGGCAGCTTCGGCTTTGGCTGCGCGCCGATATGCGGATGGTCGTGAATGAAGAGCCCGCGGGCACTCTTCGCGCGGTCGCGGGTTTCCTCGGGCTCCGTTTCTTCGGGAAGTGGACTGGGAGTAGGTCGAGAGGGCCCGACTTGTGCTTGTCGAACCACGGCTTATTGTTCTCTATCCATTTACGGATACTCTACACGGAGGAAGTCAATTTATTCCTAACATTTCGCCCAAAGGAACGTGTACGTACCTTGTGTCGCCCTTTCGTTCGTTTCTCGTACTCCGCTTCTGTCTCCACACGCAGTTGCCCTTTTCGCGTACAAGGCCACGGACGTTGATATCGAACTCCTGTTCGAATGCAGTCGCCACCGTCTCGCGAGTTGTTTGAAACTCTGCCTCGGGCCGGCGTTCTTCCAGGCGGTGAGGGCAGTGTTTACCAGCCATGTGTGTTGGTTAACATTGTCGGGAGGATGGATGACGCATCTGCGCGACGTTGGCGCGGGGTCGCTCTGGGACATGCGAGAGTGGGCGTGAGAGTCGCGGTGAGAGTGAGACAGGGTGCTGCCAAGGTTGAGTGGCGAAGATGCACGATCAACCATGAACCCTTTTATATCATGGGCCACAGCGCCGTGGTCAGCCTAAGCAAATCGGGAAATAAGTGGCAAACGAAACACATAGATATTGGGCCACTTAGCAAGATCCGGGTCGTCAAAGCGTGCACCAAGCGCGCTGCACGATCTCGTCCCCGAGCATAGGAGTGTTCAGCATGCAAGGAGGATGATATATTTTCTGGACGATATTACGAGTACAAAGGTTAATGTACAGACCCTCAGGCGGACATACATTGTACAGGCGGTATCGGGAGTCTGTGATAGTGTTTTGTGAACGTGGAGACATAAATTGTATGGCAGTGCCTCGACGTTGTTGAAGGTCTCCACCTCGTCGCAATCCACCAATTCCTCATCTGGGCACGCAGGGACTCCGGGCATTCTGGCCATGCACTCATCACACGCACGAATGCCTGGAGATTAGAACGCCGGCCTTTCCAACCATCTGACCAGCGGGGATCCAGCTAAAGGATGGAGGGCCGACATCGAGGCTGAAAAGGCAGACTGCACGGAGGAGTCGCGCCAGACCTCGGCGAGCAGCTGCTCGCGCTCCCACTTGCGGAATGAATCAGAGGTCTGGTCAACCAGGCGACTATCGAGAGCCCGAATCTCGCAGCGCCAGTTGGTTTCGTAAAGCTCCCATGTTACGAACCTGAGAACTTGGTGGTCCCTTGTGGCTAACTGAAGGGACACGTCCACACCACGATATCGTATGACATCAGCTTCTTGATAGGAGAGAAGAGCTCCGCCTTGGGCGAATAGAGATCGGACTGCCTGTTTTCGTTCCTCGCGCAGAACGTCCTGCCGCTTTCGACGCGTCCATCACCCTCGGTCCCGTGCGGGTGCCTGTCGTCCTCATCGCTTCCGAGCTCGCCTTCTTCCACTTCTTTCACATGACTCTCGCTCGCCTCTCCGTGTCGATCGACATGGTAATCGCCAAACAACGCGTGACGCCAGTCTGCAATGCGCAGAGGAGCACCGTTGATTCTGGAATCCACCAGGCGGTGCTTGCAGAATGGCCAGATGCGTACGAAGTTGTGCACGTACCGCGATTTGTGGGTTTGGCCTCGAGGATGACGAACGGCGGTGGATAGTAGTACTCGAGGGCGACGCAGGTGGGAACGCAAGAGGGGCGACGCCAGACAGAGCAGCGCGCCAATTGGGTGTGATCGCGACGAGGTCCTCCGGAGGGCATTTGAAAGTAGTGGCGGCGTGTGGCGCATGCGCTTTGGCCCCTCCGCGTTTACTCCGCCCCCGCTTGCCCCTCTTGGTAGCATTGCGACGAGTGTCTTTTTCTGCGTGGGGGCAACAAGGGCACACTGGCATCGTCGCCCTTGAACCTCTTAGCCTCTGATTCCGCACCTTCCGCTCGCCTGACTGCCTGTAGATGAGGCAACGCCGATGAGCACGTCATGTTGCAGACGAAGATCACCGAGGGATGCGTCCAGCGCCCGGGATCCTGATGAGTGCCATCGGGATCATACCACGATTTAGGTACCCGCGGCCAAGCCGGTTTGTCACTGAGGACACTGTTCCAACGACGCGGCTTCACGACTTCCGTGATTTTGATCTCCGCGACCACGGCCGGATGTGCCAGAATGGCAGCCCAGACGATGGAAAGTTGGGCGGCGGCCTCTGTGCGAACGAACGCTCCGAGCACCGGGAGGACCCAGCGATGATGAGAGATGGAAGCAGACATTCGAACCACGACGTCTTTGTAGAACACGGTTAAGCCGCTCAACTCAAGGATGAGGCGATGAGCCATGCGGCCGGTCACCAAGGCGTGCTGTTCTGTGCTAGGGAGCATCTGGAGGCGGTCCACTGCGTTCCTCAGGAGGATAGAGAGCATTCTCCCCAAGCGATGGTGGATGCCTGACTCGCGGTTGAACAACATGGAATCTCGTTTCTCCACATGTCGCTCGGCCGCCTCGTAACGTGTTAGCACGCCCGAGGCGATAGTAAACATCTCGTCGAGAATGTTGGGCTTCAAGAAACCAAACCCAGGCACCCCGCAAGCGGCGGATTCCTCCCACGGGCTGTACCCGAACCCATCATACACCTGCGCACCGGGGGCGAACTCGGCATCGCGGTTTGGGATGCAGGCATGATGAATACAACTTTCGTTGTAGAGCTGGGGCCAGCGTGTGTACTCTTGAGGACCCCAGAATCCGTCACTGTAGGTCACGATTTCTCGGTTCACGATGCGCGGGAACTCGGGTACCCAGTTTGCAAAAGGTGACGTGAAGATGTTGCAGTCGTCTTCGGCATCTGCGGCGCATTTCACGTCGAAGGGTGTTTTTGCGAGGGATGCATCTACAATACAGCAGGAAAGTCAGTCTTGATTCACACAACGGAACCAACGACATACGATAACCAGGAGTCGCGACGAGGTCAAAGGACGTGGTCTGGACGAGGCGATGCAGATTTGCGTCGGCCATTGCTGGACATTGATGAGATTTAGCCAGATACACATCCGAATTGTACCAACGTCCTCGTACCGTCACGCGTTTGGAGAGCAATAACACACAGGTGTGTGCGGCCGCTCAGGTGTCACGGTTTGATGGTAGCTGCACGCACGACGTCGTAAGACTCAGGACCTCTCAATTCATCCTCTCAAGGTTTCGTTGACACTTACCTGGGGCCCTGGGCCGTTCCCAATGTAGCGCCGCCAAGTGAGTGAAGAGTAGGAACCCTCTGCACGATCAGGACTGAGAGTACATGCTGTAAGCACACGCCCGGAGACCTGGATTCCCGAGGGGCAAGAACACAGACCTGGGCAACAGGATGTTGATTGCGACCAAGCTTGATACTGGAATGAAGTACGTTCACTTGAAGCTTGCAGGTCGAAGGACGCCCGAGACACGGCCGGACAGCAGATCTACTGCGCCCTGGCGAGGTTCGCGGAGGAAGATTAGAATCTTCCTGAATCGCAGAGCCTCTCTCAACGGGTCTGAGCCGAGCACGACTGACGAAGAGAACAGCGGGGGCAAGGTGGAAATGACGCGACGAGGACGTGCCAGATGGCTGTGGTTATAGAAGAGGCGCCTGTGCGACGCGTCCAAGTCGCGTCGCGCTGAGCGCTCCAGCGTTTACCGGGCGCTCGGTCCACCTCCCTCGTCCGCCTCCTTCTCATAGGCCATCGAATCATTGATCCTCCTCCTGCCACACCTAGTACCTCGCTTTTCTCCAATATTATCGCTGGCACAAATCCTGGCTAATCCGCTTTGGTCATGACCATGCGTCGATGCCCAGGGACGTCGCTCCTGTTCCCGCTGAGCAGTTGAGCGCACCTCAATACCCCGAACGGAGAAGCCGCTGCTCGATGACCGGACCAACCAAGGGTCGTCTCATTTTGTGGAGCCACGCGAGGTGCGGCCTCTGAGGTGACAAGTTTGCGCTTCGAGATTCTCGGACGTGACCACTCTACATCCAGGGATGCTGCGTCCCTGCTCCTCCACATGTGAATGTTGGATCAACGCTGTACGTCGATCTACTGGTCAGCGATATTCCTGAACTAACTCCTTCGTTTAAGCTCACTCCCCATTGATATTGCCCTCACGCCCATCTTGTCGCTGCCGGGAGACGCACCAAGTAAGTGACTCTCTTGGCATTCGACCACTTCCACGCAGACTGATGGCGCGCTACGTAGAGCTACCACCTAAACAGCCTCCGGAAAGTTCTCCGTGACGACCGCTACCAGTAATCGGACGCGGTCGGGGGCTCTTGCGGCGAACCCTCGACTGAAGTATCCTGGAGTTCGCTTGGAGTTCGGTCGTTGTTGGTAGGCCTTCTATATACCTGGACGATCACCTGCCTAATTACGCCAAGTTGTCGAATGGAGCGTTGGCATCCCTCTGTGTGATACGCATCTCCGAACTCAACCACTTTGTTCAACTCAGCTGGTCGCCGAGGGCCCGTACTAATGAGACCATGTGCGCATGTGTATCGTTGGTTCCGATACGTATTGTAATGTCAACGCTTTGTCCCTACGTAGCCAGTGGCCCGTGTTCAACTTATAGCCATGTGAGCGGCTCGCCCTCTCGCTTTGTCCCACTACCGCGAGTGGCCCACCGTAGCGAACCTGGACTGAGCTTCACACCTCAACCTGGGCCCCTCGTCGCATTCATCCTGCCCCTCGCTGATTGACTCACCGCCTCCCTCAACATCGTCCCCAAACGTCATGCCTAAGAACAAACGCAAGAAGCGATCTCACGACGTCTACGTCGACGATGGTGGGGAGTTGATCCCCGATGGTCCACAGACCATTCGTGTCGCCGCGAACGGCACAGAGACCGTGGAGTACTGGTCACCTGGCAGCCGCCCCGAGAAGCACCCCATTCAGCTGCCGAGTGCAGTGGATTCTCCTCTGCCGTCTCTACTTGAGTCTTTGGCGAATGCTCAAGCCACTGGTGGCCACACGGAACCACTGACCGATGAGGCCACCACCGCTGCTCGCGGAGACGAGGCAGATGCGCAGAAGAAACGCACGGTGAGCAAGTGTACTGGCGCATACGTACTTCAGACTGACATCAAACCCAGACACCTCATTCGATCATGGCGACATTTGTGAATGATTGGGCGCAAAAACTCCTCAATGTACTGCGGAACCGCGAAACGGACCCGCACATCGGCAAGCCGTGCTACAAGTGCAACCATCCCGACGCCCCATATCGCTGCTCAGATTGTTTCAACGCACCCCTCCTTTGCCAACAATGCGTCGTCGCTGGCCACATGTGGTCTCCTCTGCATCGAGTGGACCGCTGGACTGGCACATATTTCGAGCGCACCACCCTAAGCAATTTGGGCCTCATCTTTTCCGTTGGGCACCACGGGCGTCCTTGCCCCGCATCATCCCTAACCCGCACCAACAATCTCACAGTAGTTCACACCACCGGCATCCACAGTTTGACTGTCCAATATTGCGAGTGTTTCCGGCGCGGACGAGGACCCGAGGAACGACCGGTACAACTCTGGAATGCTGGCTTGTGGCCGGCATCGTTCGTGAGGCCACAAACCGTATTCACAAGCCATGTCCTACGATTCTTCAGCCACCTCACATTCCAAGCGAAGACGTCCGCTCACGACTTCTACGGGACGTTGCGCAGGGCGACATCAAACGCCTTCTTTGAGGACGTGAAGGTAAGCGTGCGTCTGGGTCTGGTGATGTTGAACTGATGTGACATGGAAAGGACCGATATCGCGAGTTTATGACAGCGCATCGACAGTTCCAATACTTACAGGCCTTGAAGCGATTCGCCGTGGACGTGAGACGCAAGCTCGACCCCGGCTGCCTGGCTTTGAGGTGTCCTGCGTGCCCTCATCCGGATATCAACATGGACCCGAACTGGAGAGAGCGCGGTGAGGCGGAGCGGTACAAGGATGCGCTCCACTGCGCGAAAGACGGTAACTTCAGCCTTAGCCAACACGACAAAAAGATGGACCACAGTGATGTTCCTTTGATGGACGGCGCCGCATACTACGTCGACAGCGACAAGTACCGCGATTACCTCGACAAGATGAAAGTCTACGAGGATGCGCAAGACGAGACGTCGTCGTGCAGCAAATTCAACGCGCTGTCCGATCGCTATAAAGGCAAGATCAAGACCGGACAAGTGGGTTTATCTTGTACTCGCCATGGGTTTGTCATGCCTTGCGGAACTGTTGACTTACACATCGGCGAACGCTACGCCAATGTCGATTACGCCACGCTTTCTGGGCTGCAGTGGTTTCACCCGCTCTCTCTCATCATCAGCTCGTACGACGTTAACTGCAAATATGGCATCCACTGGTGGTCGCGCCTCAAGAACATCGCGGCCGTCGTACCCTCCGTCCCAGGTGTTACATTGGCCAAAGAGCTGTGGCCAGTGATTCGACGCTGCGTCCCAAAGTGGCACCTTCCCTCTCACACAGGGTTGTGTCGCTATATCTTTTCATTTTACTATACACCTGGTGTAGGCAACACGGACGGGGAGTCTGTAGAGCGGCGCTGGGCAGCCCTGAATGCGATAGGACGATCGGTTCGAGAAATGGGTCCAGGGCACCGCCAAGACATAATAGATACGCACAATTCTGATTTCAACGCGCAGAAGACATTCAAGATTGGTGAGTCATATCCACTCTAGATATTCGTTGCAAGCTCATGTCGCCTTAGGTCGGCATCTGCAAAAGAAATTCAAAGAGGCTGAGTCATATTACACGAAGAACCGATCCGAACTCGAGAGCCTGGAGACGACTCTGCGAATGAATAAGAGGCCCCTCGCTCAGTGGCAGACAGAAGAGGCGGTATACCTCGCACACATCACTCAAGGCACGTTCGATGAGAAGACGATGAAGAGTCCGTATCAACCTGCTCCTGACGAAGGTAAAGCCACTCATTCCCCTGATCGTACGTTTGACTTGACTCGGACGTGGCATAGCTCCTACAATGCAAGACATACTCGCGGACTTGAAGAAAGAAGAAAGATCGAAGCACCAGGGTGAGCAAGAGACCCGCGGGACGAAGCGCAAGGCAGCGGCGATCGATGGCTCGGCGTCTGAGACAGTGAGAAGGCGAAGCTTAGGTGATTTACTTCTTGCAGCATTTGACTTGGAGCAGCAGCAGTAAGTCAGACAGTGAAACGAGCAGCTATACCTCTTGATATCGTATTTGTTGCAGAGTTGCATTGAAAGCGAAGGTGAAGGAGTATGCCAAGGATGAGACATCGGACCTATTCAACGAAATCGAGCACGAGCGCGACGCGCTGGAGGCGAAATTGCAGGACTGGATGAGCTGGCAGGAGCGGGAGATGGGCACGAGCCTGGCTGTGCTTGAGGACGAGTACTGCGACATTGAGTGGCCGACAGGCACAGCAACCAATGCGGAGGATGCCACACTTCTGGTGCCTTCAGCATATGCGCCTGAGGTCCGCAGGCATCCGACCTTCGTCCGTTTTGCGTCGGCTGAGCGACGCCTTCGCGACGCTCATGCGCATGACACCCTGCGAAAACTGCGTCATAAGCTGCACTTCGAGGCGTTCTACAAGGGTCAGAATGCGGGTTCGTTCGGACAACAGGCCCGTACGAGATATACCAAGCTGAAGGTGTCCGAGAGGAACAAAGTTGATCAGTTAAGAGAGGAGTACGAGTTCTTCCGACGGAAAGTGGTAACCTTAACCGACCCCGGAGCGCAGTGCACTCTGCAACCACTCTTGGAGGCCCACTGTCGCCCGCCCATCATCGACGAGGAGAAGGTAGGCCGCAAACAGGAGACGCTGTCGTGGATTTGGCTTGACAAGACGTACCATAAGTCGGGTCTTGAGAAATGGGTCTTAGAAGGTGAGTGTTCGACATAAATATATTGCCTGTCAATCTCATGAGCCGAACAGCGTCGCGTCTCGAGTGGTTTCGTCTGAGCGCGCGCGTAGCAAGATGGGGCGAGGAGGTCGAGATTGTCAAAGAGGAGATGCGACGTGTCCAACGCTTCTTCCAATACTCGATGAAGATGTGGAATGAGCGTGCTATCGTCGTGTGCAGCGGGGTGGAAGAGCGTGGAGCAGCAGCATACGCGGCAAGGTAAGTCACACACTGTTCCGCTACGTTCAGCACTCACCGAAAGAGCAGAAAGGCATCGATGTATTCACGG